GGGCATTCCTCTCATCGGTCTCAGAGGGGCGCAGAATGACGGGAGGGGGAGGAGGGGGGCCAGCATTGGATTGGATGTCCCGACGACGCAACATCCCCAAACGTGAATATCGAGATCTCTGGGAGACATCCTGCATTAGTTGACGATGAAGCTGACGATGACGCTGATGATGCCATACTCCCATGACTATGATGCTAACGGTGCTTGCTATAACGATGACTGCAATCATGACGATGATGGGGATGATGACGATAAGCTACGCTTGAATACGGATGATGACGATAATCCACGCTTGCCGCACCAACGCTGTGCAACCGATGGTATCGTTCATGGAACCGCAGCCCCTCCGCGGTCGTCAGAGAAACACTCGCTTCGCAGCAGTGTGCCGATTCAAGTCGGCTGTAAGAGTAGTGGACGAGCGAAGGACGAATAGCAAGAGTAGGAGGATGAAGACGATCAGATTTCTTACCGTGTTTCTCACTTCCGTTTCCCATTCCCCCCCCTGCCCCTTCCTCCCCCCCAAGAGGGGAGGGGGGGGGGTTGCAGCAGAGGAGAAGGAGAGAGATAGAAAGAGGAAGAGTGGGTCAGAGGAGTGGGGCGTTGAGAATGGGAGGGGAGATAGAGAAGAGAGAGAGAGAGAGAGCGAGAGAGGAAAGACGACTGCATGCCGATGCGCCTGCATCGCGCGGGCTAGCACTTCCTCGATGGAGGCGTGCTTCAGGCCCCTTCAAAGCCTCGAGCCCCCCGCGGAGCTCTACGCAGCGCTGCCACCGGTACCGGCTACCCCGCCCCGCCCCGCCAGAAAATCTCGAATTTGAGAAATTCGAGAATCTCGAATTTCTGTTTATATTGTTTTTATAAGGAAAACAAAATTCGAGAATCTCGAATTTTGAAATTCGAGAAAAATTCGAGAATTCTCTGGCCCCCACTGGCTCGCTCACGAGCTCCGATTGGCCGTCAGGCTCCTGATGTCTGCGAAGACGCACTTCTTGGCGTTGGCATACGTGGTGTCCAAACTCTTCGTGGCGGCCTCGAAGGTTTCCGTCTGAGTCTTGATGCCCTCCAAGGTCTCAGCCGATTGCTTGATCACCTCCTTCGCGTAGATACTGGCCGCTTCGTCCACCGCAACCCGCACCTGGTCGATCTGGGCGTTGAGGTGCTTGCAGAACTCCTCTGGATAGCCGCGGGATGCGATCGAGGAGATGAGGCCAGCGTTATCTGCGCAGTCCTTGCGAACTTTCTCGAACAGCGACTTGAGCTTCTTGGCGAACGTTGTCTTCTCGGAGTTGGCATCACGTATCTCCTTCTGCTCGGGCGTCTCCTCCTTCCTTTGAGGGGTGGCCTTCTTTTTCTGCTTGATCTCGCCGCTGATGGCTTTACTTCTCATGCTCGTCGAGACGGCCTCGTACTCGTCCTTCGTCAGGTTGGCCTCTAGGATTGCCTTCGACTCGTCCGTCTTCCCAGTGATTTTCATGAGCATCTTTTGGGACAGCCAGTACTGGGGAATTTTCTTTGCACGAAGTGATTCGTACTCGTTCTCTCGGTCCTCGAGCTCGCCTGACTCGCAGAGGATCCTGGCCAAGGCTGGGTCGTTGAGGTACATCGGGCCTCCGATCTGCGACTCCATCAGCCACGCCCCCTGCTCCCTGTCTTCGGTGGTGTCGTAGACGGAGGTCGAGTTGAGGCCCCTCGCCTTGAAGTCGCTTGGGTCCAGGACGTAGTGGGCCACCTGGGCCCTGCGGTCGGCGTCGGTCTTCAGATGGTTGTAGGAGTTCCGCTGGTGCTCAGTCAGCGCGGTTCTGAAGCTCGAGGTAACTGCATCCCAATCTTTCTTGGTGAGATAGGATTTCAAGTTGTCCCCAGTAATCTCCACGCCCGCTTTCTCCATCGCAGCCTTGGCATTCGCAACTGGCTTGGGTATCTTCTCGGTGGATGCGGCCATATCCTTAGTGACCCCTTTCGATTTCTGCACAGGCGTAGTTGCAGCCTTTGCCGCACCACGCTTCACCATGGTGAATGTATGGACAAGGCGTCGCACCCACAAAACCTGACAGAGATTTGAGCCTAAATTGCATCCATCGACACCGTCATCACCATGTTCATTCATCACCATCGCCACGCAGCTAGACTCGCATGTGGAATTTAAAGAGCGCCGTTCCGATCATCGCAAGCATCATCGTGATCGGTTTGGGTGCATCTTCGAGCCAATATGGATGCATATACGTGCGTTTAAGTTTGTAATGTAGTCGCTATACGGGGCACCTGCTGGGAAAACGGCGTTGTAGTCCTGGCTCGGGTTGCACGCTATCAGCGTCGTCAATCTGCGACGGTGGCGACGGCGACGGCGTCACCACAATGATGCTATTGATGACGATGGCGACAGAGATACAATTATGATGGTGTGATGGCGGTGGTGGTGATGATACATAGTGTCGCTGATGTTACCGACGTCGGTTTCGAAGATGATGGTGATGGTGATGATGTTGACGATGATGGCGATGATGACGTACATGACGGTGGTGATGATGATGACGATGATGTTAATGCCGTCGTTATGGTGATGATCAAGCTTTATCCCAAGCTGGTGAGTCCACCGTTGAGTACAGTCATCAACGACAAATCTGGGGCTCAGCTTTTCTGCTGGAGCGTCTCCCGAATCGTAAGACGTAGCACGCTCCACTCCAGCCGCCGATCTCATCTGTCACCTCCTGGGCTGTCTACCCTCCGAACTCCTCCGTAGGATATCCAAGCAGCGTCTATCACGCAGCCTGGTTGTCACTAATCACCTCGTCTCGGACTTGACGGCATAGGTTGCGAAAACCTTCGAGGATACCAGCTGGCCAGTTCTTCACCTTCATCGTGTCTGGCATCTCCGACAGGATCTTCTGCACGCGAGGGTTCTCCAGTACCATGTCGACCACTGCCTTCGGAGTCAGCGTCGTCTCTGCGCAAGCCTTGCCTGTGACCGACAGGACCTGGGCGCGATCTGCTGGAGCTGTCATCAAGTGAAGGCACCAACCTGAGTTGTGTCCTGCAACTGGTACACAGCGAAGTGGTGGGACGTCTTCTGGAACGACGTCTTCTGGAACTCCGTCATCTGCTTCATCTGGCTCTTCTGGTTCGACCTCTCCGTCGTCGAACAGGTCGTCGATGCCCTCTTTGACCTGCTTGGCCTTCGCCTTCGCCTTCGCCTTCGCCTTGCTCTTTGCTGCGGATCTCCTTGCTGGCGGTGCCTTTGGAGGAAGGTAATTCATGATCTGACCGTCCTTGAGCAAGGCATTGGGCAACTCTGTCTCTAAGCTTGCACCGTCCGACCACTTCGCGACGATGAAACCTGCCGAGCCCGCCTCGTAGGATGTCGCGGGCACCTCAGTACCATCTGAGAGGAGCTCCATGGCCTTGGCGCCGTTGAAGTAGCGCGTGACGAGGGACACCTGCTCTTGAGATTCCTCGTCTGCGTCGTCTGCGGTTGCATCGCCACGGAAGTTGACAAAGGGATTCACTCGTTTGACGCTCCGACGGGGGTGGTTCATGCCACTAGCCTCTGTGGAGATCCCCATTGCATTCATTAGTTTGCCCCCCCCTTACCACCCTCTTCCCCCTTCCGTCGCTCTTTCTTGTTCTAGCTTCTCTCTCCCTCTCTCTCTCTCTCTCCCTCTCTCTCTCTCTCTCTCTCTCTCTCTCTCTCCCCCCCCCTCTCTCTCTCTTCCTCTTTCCATCGTTCTCAACTTTCCTTGAACTTGAAAATCGTGCCCCGAAATCCCGAGTGGAGGCGGCGATCGGGGAAGAGGGTGGGAGTGGGGGCAAACTAATGCGTGCAATGGGAATCTCCCGTATGCCTGCTGACCCGAAGAAGAAGAAGCAGCGCCATCCATGAGCTCCGACTTCACGGTCACTCCGATCCTCACGTGGCGGTCGTGGGTGCACATCACTCGTAGCTTCAACCCGATCGTGTGAATCACCTCCTCCTCCGTCTTGTTGTGCTTCCCCGCGTGGAAGCTGATCAGGTTGTTCAGCTTGTTGGCGTAGATGGCGAGGTTGAGGCTCTGCACCACGTCGTCTTGGGAGAAGAACGCACCACGTGGATCCAGCTCTCGTAGAGCAGCGAAGAGATCTTCAAACCTGTTGAGCTTGGCAACGTTAATGTTCTTGGCCACGGTGCTAAAGTCCGTTGTGTCGTAGAGATCCGTTGGCCCAACTTTCACTATCTCGTTGATGTGTTCACCAATCGTCTCACTGATCCGTTCTGGGGTGGCCTCCTCGTCTGATGCCTTCCAACATGGCACTCGCCCTCGACCCATAGTTACTCAGTAACAGGTGGAGAAGCACAAATGGCTTGAGCAAAATGCGATAGGACTCACAATGTTGTTTCCCTGCGAATTAGCATCCTGTTGTGGTTTGCGTGATCGTTTTTTGACTGATTGTGTGTTCAAGAGGGAGGGTAGGCCCACCGACGCGCGAATGTTGAAGTCATGGTCGCGCATGGTTTTATTTCGATTCACACATGTCACATAATTATTTTAATGAGATCTGATTATTTTATTTGGATTTGATTTCTTTTGATATGATTTATTCGATTTATTATTTATTTCGTTTCTGATTATTTCAATGTAGATTTATTCATATTGTGACTTCTGATTATTTTTATTATGATTCGGAAGGGCTGGGGCCAAACACCGATCCGAAAATGAGGCCCACGCTGCAGCGGGAGCACGATTCGGAACGATTCGGGAGCAGAAATGAGGCCGGCGCCTCAACGAGAGCAGCATTTTGGGAAAAAATGACGCCGGCGCCTCAGCGAGAGTCGTTTCCGGGGATTTCCCGGGAATCCTGTGTGTTAAAAACCAGTACGCGGAGGGTGCGCGGCCATCACCCGGACGCCATCAGGGGAAGAGGGAGAGTATTTTCATATTGAGTAATTGTGGAGGAGGAGGAGGAGGAGGAGGAAGAGGATGAGGAGGAGGATGGGGCTCGGTTCAACGATGCCGGCCCGCGGGCGCCGTCTATCAGCACGTCGACGCTGCCGGACTTCACGATGAACATGCAGTCCCCGTGCTGGCCCCCCTGCCTCGTGACCACGGCGCCGGCGGCGAACAGCTGAACGACCAGCGTCCTGGCGCCAGAGCAGCGGATGGGTTGGTCGTCCTGGTCGTCGTCGTCGTCGTCGTGGAGGCCGTCGTCGTCGTCGTCGTCGTCGTCGTCGTCGTCGTCGACCTGGTCGGTGCAGGGCTGTCTGCGGTGGGCACGAGGAGCAGCGGGAGGAGCAGGAGAAGCAGGATGGGGGAGAAGAAGGGAGGTGGAGAAGGCATGGGCAGGAGGAGGAGGAGAGAAAGGAGGAGGGGGAGGAGGAAAGAGAGAAACAGATCAACAGGAGAGAGAGAGAGAGAGAACAAACAAAGGGAGAGGACGATGGAGGAAGGAGGGAAGGAGGAACAACAACACGAGCAAACTCTGAAAAAGCCTTTTGTCTGAGTCAGCTGGGGGAGGAAAGGAGGGGGGAGGGGAGAGAGGCAATCTAGGAGCGCCCGCGCCCTATCTGACATCGTGCCCCTCCCACCCATCCCTTCTTATTGCGATATTTTCTTCTCTATCCGCCGACGCGTCTCATAGCGGGCTTGGAACCTCCACATGCGAACGCTGCCACTGGAGCCTTCGGTGGAGCTCCCTATGGGGCCACGATCCTCGTGAGGGATGTGCCGAAATGGTCCGAGGCCGCCATGCGAACGCTGCCGCTGGCGCCTTCGGTGGAGTTCCATTGGGGCCACGATCCAGTTCCATTGGGGCCACGATCCTCGTGAGGGGTGTGCCGAAATGGCCCGGGGCCGCCATGCGAACGCTGCCACTGGCGCCTTCGGTGGAGCTCCCTATGGGGCCGCGAACCGTGTGAGGGGTGTGCCGCAATGGGGCAGGGCCGCCATGCGAACGCTGCCACTGGGGCCTTCGCTGGAGCTCCTATGGGGCCACGATCCTCGTGAGGGGTGTGCCGAAATGGCCCGAGGCCGCCATGCAAACCCTGCCACTTGGGCCTTCGGTGGAGCTCCCTATGGGGCCACGATCCTCGTGAGGGGTGTGCCGAAATGGGGCGGGGCCGCCATGCGAACGCTGCCACTGGGGTCTTCGGTGGAGCTCCCTATGGGGCCACGATCCTTGTGAGGGGTGCGCCAAAATGGGGCAGGGCCGCCATGCGAACGCTGCCACTGGGGCCTTCGGTGGAGCTCCCTATGGGGCCACGATCCTCGTGAGGGATGTGCCGAAATGGTCCGAGGCCGCCATGCGAACGCTGCCGCTGGCGCCTTCGGTGGAGTTCCATTGGGGCCACGATCCTCGTGAGGGGTGTGCCGAAATGGCCCGGAGCCGCCATGCGAACGCTGCCACTGGCGCCTTCGGTGGAGCTCCCTATGGGGCCGCGAACCGTGTGAGGGGTGTGCCGCAATGGGGCAGGGCCGCCATGCGAACGCTGCCACTGGGGCCTTCGCTGGAGCTCCTATGGGGCCACGATCCTCGTGAGGGGTGTGCCGAAATGGCCCGAGGCCGCCATGCAAACCCTGCCACTTGGGCCTTCGGTGGAGCTCCCTATGGGGCCACGATCCTCGTGAGGGGTGTGCCGAAATGGGGCGGGGCCGCCATGCGAACGCTGCCACTGGGGCCTTCGGTGGAGCTCCCTATGGGGCCACGATCCTTGTGAGGGGTGCGCCAAAATGGGGCAGGGCCGCCATGCGAACGCTGCCACTGGGGCCTTCGGTGGAGCTCCCTATGGGGCCACGATCCTCGTGAGGGATGTGCCGAAATGGTCCGAGGCCGCCATGCGAACGCTGCCGCTGGCGCCTTCGGTGGAGCTCCCTATGGGGTCGCGAACCGTGTGAGGGGTGCGCCAAAATGGGGCGGGGCCGCCATGCGAACGCTGCCACTGGGGCCTTCGCTGGAGCTCCTATGGGGCCACGATCCTCGTGAGGGGTGTGCCGAAATGGCCCGAGGCCGCCATGCGAACCCTGCCACTGGCGCCTTCGGTGGAGCTCCCTATGGGGCCACGATCCTCGTGAGGGGTGTGCCGAAATGGCCCGAGGCCGCCATGCGAACCTGCCACTGGGGGCCTTCGCTGGAGCTCCTATGGGGCCACGATCCTCGTGAGGGGTGTGCCGAAATGGCCCGAGGCCGCCATGCGAACCCTGCCACTGGGCCTTCGGTGGAGCTCCCTATGGGGCCACGATCCTCGTGAGGGGTGTGCCGAAATGGGGCGGGGCCGCCATGCGAACGCTGCCACTGGGGCCTTCGGTGGAGCTCCCTGTGGGGCCACGATCCTCGTGAGGGGTGCGCCAAAATGGGGCGGGGCCACCATGCGAACGCTGCCACTGGGGCCTTCGGTGGAGAGACCCCGCTGTGTCATGTGTACTGAGAAAGAGGGAGCTGCGTTCATTGGAGGAGGAAGTGGCGGATAAGCCAGAGGAAGAGCACGAGGGAAAGGGGGAGGACGAGGAAGGAGGAGGGCGAGGAGAACCAGCAGCAGCAGGAACAATAATGGGAGCAACGGGAGGAACAGGATGACCAAGGAAGGCGGGATACGAGAAAGGAGCGGGGCGACAACTATGAGGAAACACTCAGGACCAGAATCATTGCCCGGGCGGGGGCGAGAGCGCCATTCTGAACGATATGAACAAAACGCCGATCCGAAACTGAGGGCGGCGGTGCACCGAGAGCACCATGTTGACACACCGGAACCGTTCCGATTGAAACACAACCACAAGACGTATAGTGTTTTAATGCACGAGACCCCACATGCGAAGCACGAAACACAAGTCCAAATTTTGCCACGTTCCCGCTTACACGACCTAGCGAGCACCAGCAGAATTACACAGCATAACTAACACAACACTGCGTGCACCAAAAATGTTGCACCTTAGATGTTTAAACCTCCGGCCCACAACACGGATTTTACAATACATCTGTTACACAACGCCGCTCTCACCGCATATCCCTCACCTACATAGCTCACACCACATAGCTGACACGACATAGATTGCACCACGCAGCTTGCGCTGGATACGTGTCACATGCATTTCACACGGACAAGCAGTTTTGGGCCCACGCTGCCTAACAACCTTCTCTCACTATCTCTCTCTCTCTCTCTGTGTTTTGTTTCTCTCTCTCTCTCTCTCCCTTCCTCTTGCCGTCAATATCCTCGACCCCCTCTCATCTCTGTCTCTGTCGCTCTCTCTCTCTCTCTGTGTCTTCAAAATACTCAATACGAATATGAAACACCCAGAAATTGCGGAAAAGAAATAGGGGCCGGCAGCGGGGTGGGTCGGGGGTGGGCTGCGGGCGAGTCGCGGATGGGTCGCGGAGAAAATCGCGAGTGGATGGCGGGAGGGTCGCGGCTGGGTCGCAGCTGGGTCGCGCGCGGGTTGCGCGGTCGCGGGTGCGTCCCGGGAGGGTTGCGGGTGGGTCGCGCGGTGGGTCGCGGGAGGGTCGCGGCCGGTGGGTCGCGGGTGGGTCACGGGTGGGTCGCGCGGTGTGTCGCGCGTGGGTCGCGGATGCGTTGCGGGCGGGTCGCGCGGCTAATCGCGCGTGGGTCGCGGGTGGGTCGCGGGCTGGGTCGCGGGCGGGACGACGATGCCAAACAGCAGCAGCAACAACAACAACAGCAACAGCAACAGCAACATCAACAACAACAACAACAACAACAACAACAACAAACGCAACAACAACAACACCACCAACAACTGCATCGACAACAACAACAAACGCAACAACAACAACACCAACAACAATACATCCACGACAACAACAACAAACATAGCCGGAGCTCCCGGCTTTGGGGGGGATGTGAGCCCTTCCTGACGCCATTCCCCGGGGCGACCCCCCCCCCACCAACAACAACAACAACAACAATTACTAGCACGTGGGGACACACCGTTCTCACCAGTGCCAGGGTTTTCATAGGAGGCGGGCAATACCCCCACTTTGTGGGGGGGCCGGTTCAAGCTCTACCAAATTTCCAAACGACTCTTCGCCACCACCCACACCCAGCTTCCCGCCCTATGACGTTCGGACACTTCACTTCGTGGCATGCGGACGACCGTGGCTACTATTCAGGGCCCCGCGGCCGACGACGACGGCGTGCGCGCGCGAAGAAAAAACGAATGCGTCCCGCATGGTATTATTTGACAGGGATGATGGCCCTGGCAGGTGCGCAACCGTTGTTGCAGAAGTTCGAAAAAGTGGCTTGCAAAAGCCCGTTTGACAGAAATGATTAAAAAGTGTTGGGTTTCCTACGAATCCGCAAGAGCGCGCGGGATGAAATTTTGACATTTTTTGTTTTGAAAAACCATTGGTTTTTTGATGTTTTTATGTTAAAATCGCTACGACAACTAAGGTTTTGGAAGGATGTCGTCTTGCGCGCGCGAATGTCCACTTTACCAAATTTGTTGCAAGGGATTCTTGAAGTTTGGTTATGTTAGAACAAGAAACGCCCACTTTAGCTTATTTTTTGCAAAGGAAAACCGATCGTAACAACACAACCGGATCCGGACCAACCCGTTTTGCCTGAGACTTCCTCACGAAAGTGATGAAAATGAGGCTGCGGCCTAGGCGCGGCGGGGGGGCCATGCACCAGGGGCCCCAACAATAATTATTCTTTAGAACTAATAATGTTCAACAACAACAACAACTACAGCGGCCTGGTTCACAACAGAAACCTTCTCGCTGTCCCTAGACCTCAGAAATCTTCGCTCTCCTGACTTGCGTGCGCGCGCCAGAATAGCGAGCTTCTTTTGGTAAGGATTCTTCGCTGAGGATCCCTTGGTACAGACTTCTTTGGGAAAGGATTTCACAATGAGAACTCCTTAATAAGGATTCCTCAATACGGATTCTTGACGATGGAAACCTTACTAAATATTCTTGGGTTGTGAGTCATTAGCAGAAATCCCTAGCACATATTCCAGAATAAAGAATCCATCCTAAAGACTCCAGACTAAGACATCCTCACTCAGGATTCCTTAGTCCGGAGTCCTTGATAAGGGCACCTCATGATGGATTCCTGAATTTGGATTCAATAGTACGGATTCCTGAACAAGGATATCCGAGTAAGGATACTTCACTAATGAGATGCCTTACTAC